CTTCATATGCCACCAGGATAAACACACACCTCATATGAAAGCATTTAACCTCACTTCCTCGTAACTCTGGATAACCAGGGGTGGCTGCAGACAGTGGTGCTGTGAAGTCTGTGGCTGTGACCTTTTCCACCTCAGACATCTGAGAGCACACACTGCAGCAGTGCTAATGAAAGTGCCCTTTCTCGATGAACTCATGCTTCACAGTCCCTGCCATGGTATGCTGCATAGTCTGGGATGATGTAAAAACAATGTGCAGTGCAGAAGATGAAATAAGTCTCCTTCCTTCTTCCTTCCTTCCTTCCTTCCTTCCTCATCTTCCTCTCAGATAGGCTGCTTGAATTGCTTTTGTTTTGGGATGACCCTTGTTCCAAGTGATTTCTGCACTGAAAGGAAAGCAAAGAGCTTTATACAGCTGCTGCTTGTAGATCATGTGTGTGGACTCTTCAGATATAAATCAACAGGACCATTTCTATACTGTTGTCTGGTCCCCATTATCTGCACACACTAATCAAACTTAAGCCATTTTCAGATACAGTGATTGAGCAAGTTATTGTGTTAGAATGTTCTTTTAATGACAAGTGCCATTGTGCTATTGCCATAAATATACGAAGAAATACTCTGAACTGCTTTAGCTCCCAGTTGTCTCTTTGTAAAGTTATCTTTGTGCTACACGTGGGGTGGCAAATGTTTGCTGTAATACAGCCCCTGACTCCTTTAATTATGGCTTATTACCCTGTGAAGGAAAAAAAAAGCAACTAAAGCTATTAAATACCATATTAATGACAGCTATAAATGTAGATATTACCTTGGCAGTGCTCTAATGGAGTCTGGTATGCTGAATGAAAGTCCACAATTTTCTAAAAATATACTGCTGTAACTCAGAAAGAGACACAGGTGGGAGCTTACCACGAGAAAATAGGCTTGGTTGAAAACTTGTGGCTGACAAATGTTAAAACCCAATTTCATGGAAATTCTCAGTTGGTTATAAATGAGGCATGAGAGAAACTTTGCTCCCTTGAGACAACTGCCAAGTTTTTGCTGTGGATATAGATGCAGTTCCTTAAAGACAGAATGTATTTATAGCCTGTAAGATACCTGCTATTTTAAATAATGATTCTTAACAAGCTAACAAATATTTTTTGTTTATATTAGAAAGTGTTGATATGTCTGTGTGGCTTTTTGTGTGTCCGGGCCTGTGAATGTAACCTTTGCACATACTATGCAACCTGTGGGGACCACACTAGGTGGTATTCAAGCCATGTAATTAATTAAGCCCAGGCCACCCTAGGCACAAGTCCCAGGACGTGCACACATCAACCTTTCTAAAACTGGATCACTAGTTTACAACACTGACACGCCTAAGCAAGGGAGTGACATTAACCTTGTGATAGATTTAAATCATTCCAGGCAGTCTGTTTTGAATTTCCAAATGTGCCGTACTGTTCTAATGAGTTAATTCATTTGGTATCCATTTCCTCCTGTCAGCTGCTTTTGGAAAATAAATTGTGCATTGTTATCTTAGCCTTGTCTATCCTATTAATGGTTTAGGAAATGCAGCTGAAGATTATCTGTAGTTTTCTGTGGCAGAGTTTGACCTGTGACAGTGTAATGATCAATCACATCTTGAAGGAGTCAGAAACAGTGAAATTGTTATTAATTTTTTTTCTGTCTGCAGTGTAGTTTTTTAAAAAAATGTTTTCCACCATTTGTGCAGAGGGGTAAAATCAAAAGTGTTGTCCAGAATTTTTGAAAAACATCCATTTCAGTGTTTAAATGTCATCCACCCAATGAGGGTGGATATAGCAATATACTACATATTCCACATTCACCAGCAGTACATTAGAAGTCTCCTCTGTTGCCTCCTTCTTTGGTGTTAGTGATTATATTGGCAATACCTGGATGGTTTCTGGTGTTTTGTGGTGCCTTGTTGGGCTGGCTGGGAGTGGGGATGGATGTAGTGCTCCCACCCCACAGCATCTGGCAGTGCCAGACCCACAAAAGAGCATTGTCCAGAAGGACCCTGGTGTTCCCCAAACGCTCATCTCCTTCAGCTCCATGGCACAGCCTTCACCCGTCAAATCCTGTCCCCTGCTTCCCAACACGTGTTAAAGATGGCTGTACTTGTATCCTCTAATTCACTCTGGTGAGAGGCACTGCTTTTAACAGGTCCTGCCCCAGTTTAGAAAACAAAACTACCCAGAGAGTCTCTGATTCCTGTTGAAAAGCTGGAAAAACTCCCACAAGAGACAATTCCTGTCTATTAATCTATTAGCTGGCAACAGTACCCTTTCCTTCTCTTTCTAATCCTACCACCACTTCCAAAAACTCACAGTTTTTCTTTACACATCTTCCTCAGTTTCCTAGCCAGCATTTCAAATCTGCTATTCTATGATTATTCCAGCAACTAACTTTTAGAAATGCCTAGATACCTTTGCTCCCTGATGCTCTGGCTGTGTTGCCCATGTCAGCTTTTTGCACTGTGCTGTGTGCTAACCCCACTGCGGCACACAGCGCAGTGTTACTCGTGCCCACACTCTCCCTTCTCTCCAACCACAATTAGATCATCTCAAAATATCTGTACTGCTCAGAGGCTCTAGATCTGATGTGAGGGTTCACAGATTAATTTAGCACAACTAGTTTACCTTGGGATTTAAACAAGCTACTATTTTAACAGCCCTGAATCTTTTTGGCTGTCCCTGTGCTGAAGTCCTATGCTTCCCATAGGATCTGTGGGAATAAAAAGTGTATAAAAAGAAAAAGAAGCACAAAACTCTTAGCCTTTCAGCCCTCCATTTCCCTGTGACTTTCAGACAGTTCTGACTTGCACACTGGAGAGACTCAGAGTTATTTTTTTTATGAGAAACAGATTGAATGTACAGGTTTTCATTGATCTCAGTGCAAGTGAAGTTCACCTCTCTGAAGAATCCCTAAAGAGTCTAACACATGGTGCCAGAAATAGTCAGGAGCTTGTATTTGAGTCTGTTTTCTCCTGCACTTCCCCTCTCCTCAGCAGGTGGTGGAAAGACCTCTTTATTTTCCCTCATTATGCTTTTCATTGTTGCAAATGGCTTTGACCATTTTAGTCTTTAACTTCAGCCACCGAAGTGGAGCCCTGAGCTGCCCTTTAATTCTGAACTGTAAGGGCCGAGTGGGAAGAGAAGCTTCTTACACAGTAGTGAGGAAATCCATTCTCTGAGAAGGAATTCTCTGCAGCCTCACGTGGCATTGCCTGAGCACAATCCTCACCAGCACTGATGTGATGCACAGATCTGAGCTGGGCCAAACAACTTGCACCCTGTGCACATCTGAATTTCCATTTTCTCAGAGTGTTCCACAGTGAGCATAAAAAACCTCTCTCCTGGAGGTGGTGGTGACTCTTGGATGGCTCTGTGTACCTTGTGTGGCCTGCATGTGCCTGGCTTTTTACTGGTGTCTGGGGATAGCTCAACCCTTGGTGTGGAAGAGCTGCAGCTGTGCAGCTGCACATCTGCGTGGTACTCCAGGGAGAAATGGACCACAGTTTGATGTTCATAAATAGTCTCTCAAATCCAACATCTGTGAAAGAAAATGCTGTGAAAGCTTCTATTTCCATTTTATCCTTATTTTTACAAAATTACAACAATAATAAAAAATGTCCTGTGTTCTCTGTAACAAAAATTGAAGTCCCAGTGGAGTCTGTGGAATTGCATCAAATATGCCAGCAGAGAACTTGGCCCATGAAAGGAAAAGAAGTCTCAATAATGTTATACTCTCAACATGAATATTTATTTTTCTTATTGCCAGTACCAAAAGATCATTTGCTCTGTTCAGAACTCTGACTGCAATTTTTACTATCAAGAATATAGCTTCTAAATAGAAAAATAAAGAGTAAACTATAATAATTCACAATAATGATATTACTTGAGCCTTAATTTTCAAGTGAAAACATTACCAAACTAAATTTCAGATAGTGTTTTATTATGTGCAAACCACTGTTGATATAATAACTTCTATTTTAGGTTGCCAGCAAAGAAAAGAACAATGTGACCCATTTAAAAACTGGCTCACAGAAAAATAATAGCAAGGTATTTATCGATTCTATTTAATTTTGGTGATAAGCACCTTTTGATAGAAACCTTTGTTACAAAACTAACAGTAGCATAGGATATATTTGACCATAACACATGTGTTTTGCAATGGTACTGAGAAATGGACTTTCTTTTTGTTGCCAATTGTTTGGAAAAGAAATGAAAAAGGGAAAATTCTCACTTTTGAATTCTTTAGCAGATGGAGCCTGATTTTTGAAATCTCTGATTAAGAGGCAAATTACACTCACACAGCTGGAGTGCTGCAATGTCTGGATACAGCTAGACAAGAGCAATCCAAAAGGCTCTAGAGTGCATTGATGGACAATAGTGCAAAAATAATATTACAAAGTTAATAATAATAATAATAATAATAATATTTCTGATACAGGTAATTGAGAAGGTGAAGAGAGGAGATGCTCTGCAGGATCTGATTTTCACAAGCAGAGAGGAACTGGTTGAGAATCACAGAATCACACAGAATCACTAGGTTGGAAGAGACCTTTGAACTCCTGAAGGGGAATGCCAGGAGCAGATGGAACTCAGGCTCCTGAGAGAAGACAGCAATTTAACAGCCCTGGACATCAGGAAAGTAATCAATGGAAGAATCCTGGAAGAATCCAATGTGACACCCTCTTGCAGAAGAGAGGAGGAGTTCAGGATGGCTGACTGATTTTCAAGGATCAGCTCTTCCAGACTCAGGAGTTGTTGATCCCCACCTGCAGGAAGTAAAACAGAGGTGGGAGGACATTTGTATGGATGGACAGTAAGCTCAAAGGTAAAAAATAAACATTCAAGAAGTGGAAGTAGTTAGGTGATGTGGGAGGAATATAAAGATATTGACTAAGCATGCAGGGATCAGGTTAGTAAAGTCAAAGCCCACTTGGAATTGAATCTAGCTAGAGACATGAAGGGCAAAGATTGACACATGCTCCCAACTTACTGTCATCTGGAAATTTGCTAATGAAAGACTCAACACCCTCACCCATGTCGTCAATAAAAATATTGAACAGAACTGGCCCCAGCACTGAACTCCTGAAGGGGAATGCCAGGAGCAGATGGAACTCAGGCTCCTGAGAGAAGACAGCAATTTAACAGCCCTGGACATCAGGAAAGTAATCAATGGAAGAATCCTGGAAGAATCCAATGTGACACCCTCTTGCAGAAGAGAGGAGGAGTTCAGGATGGCTGACTGATTTTCAAGGATCAGCTCTTCCAGACTCAGGAGTTGTTGATCCCCACCTGCAGGAAGTAAAACAGAGGTGGGAGGACATTTTTATGGATGGACAGTAAGCTCAAAGGTAAAAAATAAACATTCAAGAAGTGGAAGTAGTTAGGTGATGTGGGAGGAATATAAAGATATTGACTAAGCATGCAGGGATCAGGTTAGTAAAGTCAAAGCCCACTTGGAATTGAATCTAGCTAGAGACATGAAGGGCAAAAAGGGGGATTTCTACAGGTACACCAGTCACAAAAGTGGGGAAAAATGGGAAAAATGTTGGCTAACTGCTGAACAGGGCAGGCTACCTGGTGACAGAGGACACAGAAAAGACCAGTGTACTCAGTGCTCTTTTCTCATTGGTCTCTACTGGTAAAACCAACCTTCAGGGATCTCTGGGATATCTCCCTGTTTACCTAAGAGACATGGAAACATCTGGAATAAGCAAGAATTGCCATTGTTGGAGAATGACTATATTAGGGGACCCTTACACAGCTAGAATGAATACAAGTCAATCTGATGGGATTCATCCACGAGTGCTGAGGGAGCTAATGCCACTGCAAGACCTTTCTTGAATTGCCATCAGGGAAGGATCCTGAGGACTGAAGGAAAACCAGTGTCACTCCTTTCTTCAAGAAGAAACTACAGACTGGTTGGAGCAGTGTATGTTGTTATCTTGAGTTTAGCAAGGTTTTTGACGCTGGCAGCTGTAACATCTTTCCTGGTAAATCAGTGATGTACAGACTAGGCAACAGGACTGAGTTGGACTGAAAATTTCCTGAACTGCTAGGCTGAAAGGACTGTGATCAGCCACACAAATTCACCTGGAGGCCACTCACTAGAGCTGTACAGTGGAGATTGATGCTGGGACCAAAAGTGTTTAACATGTTCATAAGATAGCTGGACAGTGGGACAGAGTGCTTCCTCAGCAAGTTTACACATAACAGAAAACTGGAATGAATGGCTGCTATACCAAATATTTGTGACTGGAGAAACATGCTGACAAAAAATCCTTGAAGGTCAAAAAAGGGAAATGCCTAGTCAAAGGAACCCCTAGAAATGCAGATACCCATAAAAACTGTGGGGTCAATGAGCTGAAAAGCAGCTTTAATACAAAGGACCTTCTGGGCTTCATTAGGAAGAGATTTGCCAGCATGTCGAGGGAGGTGATTCTGCCCCTCTACTCAGTGCTGTTGAGTCCACACCTGGAGTTCTGCGTCCTGCTCTGGGCTGTCCAAGACAAGAGAGATGTTGAGCTACTGGAGAGAGTCCAGTGCAGGGCTAAGAAAATGGTTAAGGAATTGGAGTGTCTCCCCTAACAGGAAAGGCTGAGCTAGTGAGATAATTGGGGTGGTTGAGCCATGAGATAAGGAAGCTTAGGGGGATCTCATCAGTGTGAATAAATACCTGGAGGAGGTGACTGAAAAGGATGGAGTCAGGATCTTTTCAGTGGTGCCTAATGACAGAACAAGAGTCAATGGAGCAAATGAAACACAGGAAATTCCACTTAAACATAAAAACCCAGTAATTTCTGTGAGAGTGGTTAAACACTGGCACAGAGAGGTGGTGGATTCTCCATCCTTGGAGATTTTCAAAACCCAATGAGACATGACCTTGAAAATTTGCTTTAAGTTGACCCTGCTTTGAGCAGGGGGTTTTGCCTAGTTGGTTTCTAGCAGTACTTTCCAACCTCAGCCATACATCAAAAATATTGTTTATATAATAGACCAAAAAGTGTTGGCTCTGTAGGAAACCCCATGTCAGAGTCTGGATGCAATCATGCTCTGCTGCTGCTAATATGTTCTGTTAGAAAGAATTCACGTATCAACCTGCAGGATGTAAGTGCATGCAGAATCCTGACAACCAGAGAGACAGCAGGGACCTTTTGGCACCTGATTCTGGGGTAGATGGGAGATGCTTTGCTGCTCCTCACCAGCTGCATTCCCTAGAGGCTGGGCTTCCCCATCCCCAGGTGGGGATCACAGTCAACACGACGACCTTGGTCCGTCAGTCTGCTGGAGAGCAGGAGCGAGCTGCTGGTGGGGAACAGCTGGCTCTGCTGGCATTGAGGCACCCGGGGAGCCCTTCTCTCAAGGAGAAGCTGCAGCTGATTTTTCCAGCCTACTTTCTAGACCTTTTGTGCTGATCTCAAAAAGCACAAAGGGAATAGAACAGGCCTGGGAATATGTGTGGAAAAAAAATCTCCCCCAGCCTTCTACATACTGAAGAGAAGGAGTATATAACAGCATGACTTTTGTAGCAGTTCCATAGAGATAAAACCACTTTGGAAAGAAGCTTTTTCATTGTTTAGGAAAAATAATTTTCTCCCCAGGTTTGAATTAGAAAAAGTAATTTTATTTTCTCTCCAAATTCCTCTTATTGTTATGACTATTATCAACAATTAATTGTTTTGAACACCAAGAATAAGAAGAAGGCTATACTTTTTATTTTTTTTTTTCACATCATCCTTTTACTAGTAAATTTTGGCCTAGACCACTTACTCTGTTTAGGATTAATGCATTCATGAGTCTTATTTTCAGTAGCTATGAAGAAAAGACATTTTAAAGCAAATTGAGGTAGGTGATATCTTCTCCAATGCATTTTTAATGTATGAGACATTGTAAGGACCAGAAAAGCATTCTGTGCTCTGCAATACATTTGACAACTGAAAAAAAAACCAAAACAAACCAAGCAAGAAAAAAAACCCAATAAAAAAGAAAGTAAGATAAAAACAAGATAACAGAACATATGGGAGAGTGAAAGGTACAGCCATGCTACTAGTGTCCAGTGAGCTAATTTTATTGGGATTTCCAATATATGAAAGATGAATGTGATAACTGATGGGGGTATGAAGAAGATGTTGTGATCTTAATAAGAATGTAATTCCATAAGAAATTGTCTTGTGATTTATATCTAATAATATTACTGAAATGAGGCTAATGAAGGAAATCAATGCTATATAATACATTTTTGTAAATCTGATTCTCAAAGCATTTCTGATAGAAAGAGGATAGATTTGTCTTCTCCCAGGAATCCCTGCTGACATGAGAACTCCCACTGAAATCAATTGACAAGCAGACAGGGGAGTAAATAAACCTCTGTCGACGCACTTCTGCTCTGCCCTGCTTCTGTAGTTCCTCTCTCATGGCAATGTCCTTAGAGTCACATTTTCTGTAAGAAAACTGCTCCAGTGCATCTGGAGCGCAGTCTCACACCTTCCTGCTCTGCTAATGAACTCTGCCTGCTATGAAAGCTGCCTTTGCTTTTGCTGTCTTGGGTACAGATCACAAAGTCCTTTGCTGTGCTGCACCAGTCTCTCCAGACCTTTGGGTATCTACGCAATTAGCTGGTCTACGCTGCACCCCACACTGCTTGGTTCTACTGATGTTATGCTAAAGGAAGGCAAGCTTCATTGTATTTACCCAGTCTGTATGAACACTGCAGACTGCAGTGCATGTTTTCCCACACCAGCCTCCCTTTCTCTAAGCAACTGAAATCAGCTTCAGTTGGATTTAGCAGATCCCTGAAAACATACATACTTATCTCCCTCTTTGTCCCCTTCCTTGTCTGTTTCATTACCCATTTTCCTTGGAAAGGACAATGTGATTTATAATATGTATCTTTACAGCATTTGGAGCAACACCTATTTCTTCAGAGAAATGTAATGGGATATATTTAAAACCACAGAAATTTTAAAAGTCTGGGACTGCTTGAAGTACAGACTCATAGTTCTCCTTATAGGGGCATATCTACAATGAAATTACTAATCTTGTGAATAATTTTGTGGATGTTAAAGTACAACCTCTGTTCTGGGTAGACGGTGAAGAGAAGATCCCACACACATTTATCTCCTCATGCTCAGCACCTTGCTCTTCAGGATTCTGGAAATGGGCATTCTAGCAGAGGTTTCTGTCTCTGTCACCATGCTAATTTAAGTCAATGGCAATAACCTTTTTGATGTCAGTGAGGCAGGATAAAAGGTTGTGTAAACAGCCAGCACTCACATCTTTCCTCATCTCAAGAACCTTGCTGACATCTGACTTAACACCTTACATATCCACCTCACTCAAATATTTAAGTAAGAACAGATATGTGACAGCAGGGAGGTAAAATGGTGAAGAAAAGCATGTGAATATAAGGTTGGATTAAAGGTGTAGTGCTATAGACAAGATCATACATATTTTTTTTATGTGCAAGTTTTTTTTCTATATCTCAGTCCAAGCAGCTGTTGAGGCAAGCAGCATGAGCACAGAAGATTGGGGCAAAAATATATTTGAACCATCAGATGCTTGGAAAAACTGCAGTCTTATCTGATTTTGGTAAGAAGAGCCTGAGACTGGAGAAACACCAAGGGAATGGCTACTGCTTTAAAAAGAAAAACCGTTGATTATATTTTGTCAGAAAAGGAAAGATTTTAGTCCTCACTATTTTTTTGTGTTCGAGGTTACTTATGAAAACCACTTAGCCCAGGGCAGATTAGATCCTGGCACTGTTGTGCTGTCATCACTGTAAATTCATTAATGTTTCACTGCAGTGTTCTAATGCCATTAGACTGCCCCATGTCACATGTGTTATGTCTATGAATGCTCTCTTTGTCTCTCTGTGTAGCAAGGAAGGTGAAAGGCACTGGAATTGAACTCATTCTTCAAGCCGAGAATCTTTGCAATCATAAATAAAGTCCCTTCAGCTTAACATTCATTGCCTCCTTTCTCATTTAAAAACAGATGTGAGCACACGGAGAAGGCAGGTGCAGAGTGCCTCTTTCAGCTGCTTTTGAAGGAAAGCAGGAAGTGAATAAGTCACAGAGAGCTGTGCTGTTTGGATCTTTAGAAAGCATTTATAGCTTCTAGGTGCGTTCCTGCTAATGAGGGTGTGAGATGTCAGCTCTTTGGAAGTCAGAGCATGTACTGTTGCACTCTCATCAACTCTGATGGATGCAGTGTGTATGGGAATATAATTTAAACATGAGGGTATGAGGAATGATTTATTAAGTTACCACATAAACTACTTAAGAAAAAAATGTCTAATACTAGAAAAAATGTCTGGTGTAGTTGAATGCTATATAAACCACAAAATTTGTCGTAAACTGGAAACCCCCAAACTGCAGCACTGTCTGAAAATGCATATAAATACCCTGAGTAGTAGCTGTAAAATATTGCAACTTACAACAGCCAGACTCCTGAACCTAATGAGGGTCACAAACTGATTGCTGCCAATCGTATTACTGCTGTTAAAGTCAGCAGCAGTATCTGAGACCATGCTATGTTTGGGTGTGTGGTGAGAATCTGAATACTGCCACTTTCCCCTTTAGGCAATCCAACTTCCACATAAAATAGTGTCCTTTTTTAATGAGGGCAACATCAGACACGATATGATCCATGGTCTCTACAAGATGCCAGACTGAGGTGAGCAGAAAAGAATAAACAGCACTGTAGCCTCTCTCTCCTCTCTTTCCACATCTCTCAGGTTTGATGAGGGTGGAAACACGCCATTCTTTGTAAAGAGCTGGCATAATTTGCCCTCATTAGCAGAGCATGCCCACTTTTTTATGCCACTCTTGCTGTACCTCATTTGAAACACCACACTGCAGGGATTTTGCAGTGTCTGGGATTTTGACTATGAAAGGAGAAGTTTACAAGAAAAGAGCCTGCAGCTTTCTGGACTTGATGCACTGCATTGTCTGGCATGGATTTTACTTTCCCCATGACACTGAAAAAGCACTGCCACGGAACAATTTGCTTTGATGCCCTATGCTAGCAAACAAGTTTGGTGATAAACAAGCTTTTAATCCTGTATTTCCACACTTTTGCTAAGGAAATTGCAACTTGACAAAGCTGTGTGTCAATGACTGTGCCAAAACCTCAGCCCTGAACAGAGCTGGTAAAAGAGAGCAGGAGAGAAAGTGCTCACAGGAAGCCCACAGAAGAATTGTACTTTAGAAGCTTTGTCAGCGCTTTGATTTAGTGCCATCAGTCTCCTGCAGCAGGCCTTCTACTAAGTGCTAGTGTAGACAGTCCAGGAAAACTCCCAAGAAGCCATAAATGATGCTTGTGACCTGAAAAGTATCTTCTGCCTCCCTGAATTCTAAGGAGGGATCTGCCAAAGCAAGAAACGTGCCGGGACTCACGAGGAGCCTGCCCTTTCATGTGATAAGGTCTCTATGGAAAGAACTGTAGTCTAATCAAAGTACATAAGTAGCCAAATCTCAGCATCAGGTTTTCAGGAAAAAGCCCTGCTGGTCCCCTCCATATGACGCCTGTCCACATGTGTCACAGCGAACAGCTGGTGAAGAACCATCTCCTGCATGAGGGGAATACCCAGCACTAAAATGTGTGTTAACACACCCAAGACAGAGTTTTTCAGGGCCAAAATTAGCAGTTTGGGAAGCAGCACAGGAATGTAAGTAGCAGAGGACCTTTTCTGCTTACCTGAAAGTCATCTTGTTGCCTGAAATCTTCACAATATCCTGAAGTATTGCGCTGTCTCCTGGTGCTACTCCTCTGTTCCTTTTTCAGATGAAGAGAGGCTGAGCTTATCTGCTTTGCTGATGCAAATACAACAAAGCACATTATGCTACGAACTAACTCCCTTCCTGTGGAACAAACATTAGGAAGCAGCTGAAGAGATATTCAAGACTCCCGTGTTTCAATATAAAGCAGAAAATGCCTGTTTCCAGATTCTTAAACAGGAGGGTGCAAACTGTAATACAAAATCTAATCACAAGAATAAAAAGTCTGATATTAAACTCTTCTTTTTAGTGAAGCAGTCTTCTCTGATGCTTCCCCCCTGCCCTTTTTATACAAAACTGAAGTGCACAGATGCATTGTAGGACATTGATAGAATATTAGAGCCACTGCATGGCTTTAAATTACTGCACGGCTTTAAATTACTGCACAGAAATCTGGAGCATTTTTGGAAAATATTTCATTTTCAGTGAGGGAAAGTATTTTTATTTTTAATGGTAGGTGTTTGAAGTTGTTCAGTGGCTTGGAAAGTTACCAGTTCCTTTTCATTTCTGAATACAAACATTTCTGTGTCTGTGCAAGGTCTCAATTTTTTTGAGGCTGTGGTTCTTTTTGCCACACATCTAATCTGAGCCAAGTACTTATTTTCGAAGATATTATCACTGAAAGAATACTAATTCAGGAAATCAGTGTTCAATGTTTCTATACAAAACATTTAAATTAGAACAAAAGCAGATTCTTTTTCCTGGTTAGCTACATGACACATGATTAATGATTGGTAAAATATAAATCTGAATGGAAATATCTCCTCTTCCAAGGTTCCAGCTGATCGGTTTTGAATTGCCACACTGGGGATGTGAACTAAGAGCCTCTCTAGCAGCATTACAGTGACACATTGCCTGTCATTTACTGCCTGCTCTCCTTTTAAGTACTTGTTCCTTCGTAATTATTATCTGCAGTTGGCCACTGGACTTTGAAACTGCAAACTGTTTTCCATATCTTTTGTTTCCTGTTGTATATACATTGAAATCACACGGTTTGTTATCTGTCACTAAGATTACAAGAAGCATGACTTAAAAGGAAAAAGGTAGAAAAATGTCAATGAAAATAGGGAGCTGTCTACTGACTATAAAATGTGACACACCTCTGTAACCAAAAATAGAGCAATAGTACTTGGAATCTGGTTCTGATTCAGTGGTGAATACAAAAAAAATGAGTAGAAGTGAGTAGAAAAAGTCTAAACAAATATTGATATGTAATAGAAATTTCAGGCTATAAAAAAATTGATGCATGCTTCAGGAAAAATCAATAACCAGGTTTCACACAGATTTGTAACAATTTTTAAACTGCATTAATTAGAGAAGAAACTCAAAGTTATTACTGGCTGAGACTGCATTTTTTGATGGTGATAAAGAAATAAAAGATTAATAAATATTTTAGGGGTTTTATTTTGGGGAGGATCTGATCTGCTTACATCATGAGTAGTTAAAGAAATTTTCATTTTATTAATAACTAAGTGGTATTGTGTAATAACATAAAATCTGATTTAAATGTATGTACATATATAGGTGCTTACCAGCTTCTCACAGAACCCTGGAGTTTTACAAGAACTGGCTGAACAGATCCTCATTCTGTTGTGTAAATTTTTAACAAATATAGGAAAATGTTGTAAGACATAAATAATGTTAGCATTATATAAATATTAAAGAAAAAAAGAGAGAAATGAGATAATATAGGTAACTACTCTCTGATTTGACAAAAGTGGCAGGAAAACTACAAAAGACATGGGACTACAGTTATAAAAACTTGATGTAGAGGACTAATGCTAATGACAATAATTTTACTAGAAGTGTGTCTTGTCAAAGAAACCTATAATGAGATTACAGATTTGTGGATGCACGTGATTTAGTGATGTACAAGATACTCATTAAAAAGGAAGATGAGGGGTCATTCAAATGGATGGCATTTTAGGTCAACAAAGCATAAAATGATAATGCAGTCTGTGTCCATAGTCTGTAGACTGGCTCCTGGATACCCTGACTCACAAAGAGGATTTAATGTTTATACTAAATTGCAACAAACAAGAGAGACCATATTTGATTCAACAGCAAAAAAAGACTAATGTGAATCCTAAATGTGCAGATAAAAAAGAAATAAATGAGTACACAGAGGTGAAACAAGAGCTACACAGGAGAATTCCAGTCTGTATTTTTAATGTGGAAAATAGGAAAATGTACAGAAAAAAGATAAATCCAAGATATCTTGGTCTTAACCCTCTAATAAGTGTTAATGAGCTCCTTTCGTTTAAACCTCACAGAGGTGACCAGACTAACACAGGTGAGCACATTAGAGAGAAAACACAAAGCAATAAAGGCTTTCCTGTCAAGACAAACAAGCATAACATGAACTAGTGGCTGAGAGTCAAAGCCAGAAAAATTCAAATTGGAACTGAATACCCATTAGTTAATACTGAAAGAGATTAACCACTGGAATGAGCTCTCAAAGTAATGAGTTCTTCATGTCTTGATGTTTTCAGGTCAGGCATTTCTGAAAAACGTGCTCTGGCTAAACACGTTATTATTTATTGATATCCAAATAATCAACTTAATACATGAGCAATTGCATGAAATGTAATAACTGTGATATAGGAAGAAGATTATTCTCTGAATGTACAATTTCATAGCTTTTCCAGAACAGGGTACATGAGCACTTTTCCAGCTATGGATGTTGGCACGCTGATAAGTGAAACTTGGTAGAATGAATGATGAACTGACACTCCTTTCACCATCATTTTACAAACTCAAATATGTTGTTATCTCCTTGCCACTTCATGCTGATCAGTGCTTTCTCTTTCTCAACAAGCTTCCCAGCTGAAAAGCCAACACCTGTAAGCCAACACCTGCTTGTGCTCTTCTAGTGAAAAAATGATCAGGCCCATTATTTAGCTCATCCTCTCCTTTTATTTTAAACTGTAGAAGGTATTATATCTTTCCCTGATTCAGAGCTTCCCTTTGAAACATGTAATTTGTAAGTGGTGGATTTAACATCTATCAGTTCCACTGACAAAGAGCCACTCCTTTTCAATAGCTATTAGATGAAATTCATAATCCTTCAAGAATCTCATATAATGTTAAAGATCTGAAATTATTACAGCTAGGTAAATACATATTTATCATCCCCTTATTGCAGATTTCCCCCTGAGCTTCCCATCTTCTTTAATTTGCATCTGGGTGTATCATTAGTTTTGCTTCCTTCCTAAAGAAATAAAGAAATAGGAGTTTTGCCATGTCAGGACCCTTGATTATCATTTGCATTCTGTGTTTCAGAGACATCTTATTTCATCCTTTAACTGCCTTTTCCTTTTAGCCCGGTAGCAGAAAAAAAAAAATCTCACTTCCCTTCTAGTCTTCTGTTGTCTTCAGGAATTCACTTTACTTTTGTGCTTATTTTACTTCATCAGCAATTCCTATTGTATCTACCTTTTTTTGTAATTCTTTCCATGTTTTTTTTCCCCAGGGCTAGATCCTTTTAGGGAAAGGGAAAGGAAATGCTTCAGCAGACTACATGGATTACTTTCTAAATTTTTTAGTGTGTCCTTAAATACACTGTACTTTATTATAATTTCTTCTGTTCCCTTTTGATAGTAGTTTTTTCAGTTCTTAAAAATTACTTCCTGTTACTTGTGTTTTCTTTAAAAAGCTTGACACTATCCCCTGTAGTTTTAATGTCCTCAAGCTCTATGTCTAAATTTTCATGGAAAGCCTTAATAGTCCTGCTTTACACATTTGAACACTGGGAGAATACACACCAATTATACCCATAGGTTTGTAGCTAATTCCCATTTTCCCATCACTTGTGCATGTAAAAGGTTTATAACTATACTGTAGGAAAATGTCTGTACACACTTGAAGATCAGTATGTTGATCTTTAAATTCCCCACCCAAACCATCCATATTGTAAAGTGAAACATGTGAAGTGTGTTTAGGGCCAGTCTGCAGTCCTATTAGCTGGCAAAACCAGGAAGCACGAATTTACACTTAACAGACCATAAAAACACACAAGGCCATGGAAACCACCCCTTGGTGTAGATGTAAGGGGAAATTGGGATTCAGCTGACATATTTTTGCAATGTTTGCAGGATGGCATTTGCCAGTGTAAACCTGACTTGAAAAGATACAGTGTCTTTCACTGTGAATGGTTTATTTTTGCTATAAATGGCCCCTTTATTGGAAATGGTCTCCCTTTACCTTTTAATCTTGGACTATTTGAACTACCCAACCAAATTTTCCATTCTGTAATGCATTACTACAGATGAAGAAAATAAAAATAGGCAAATGTTATAATTCCAGGAATACTGGAATATTATTCCTTCGAATGAACTAGTTCCCTTTAAAATGTGCAGAGAGATTTTCAATATTGGTACACATAAGCTTGTGTTTAAGAGTTCAAATGTAAAAACTCTGTGCTTACACTTCTAAACTTGGAAATCAAACTTCTGTGAGAGTATAATCTGGCATGAAATAAAGATAGAAACAAGACCACGTGGGAGATATTTGCTGGTCAACCTCATAGTCAACACAGGAAGAAAAATAGGAAGCCTTATTCACTGGAAAAACAAGATGCTCCAAGTCCCTTCAGCTGCTTGTCTTGCTGAATGGACGTTGCCTTTTCTTTCAGGAAACCTTGGCAAGAATGGAGATCTGGCTTGCAGAAGTATAAATAGACTTTAAAATTACCCCAAATGGAATGCTCTAATATGCCATAGAACAATTCCCTCCTTATCAAAATATTAAATCCTCCATGCCCTCACCTACTCTATGTTGGCAGCAATGTAATAAAGAAAAAAGTGGATAATACAGGAAATATGATCATCTCAGAGTCTGAATTTCTCATCCCTTGCACCAAGGAAATAAGTGTCAGTTCTGTGGCTGCAGAGAACCATGCAGGTAGGAATGTATGGTCTAAAATAACTTGTATGTAATTCTGCTTTTCTTTTTTCCTATAGATTTCTTAGTAACCTCTACAGTTCTCTGCACTGGACTCTC